TGCTGCTGCTGTTGCTCGTGGCTTGCATGCAGGAGGCCTCAGAAAACCCGTTGTTGCTGTGGGGCCCCGCCACATCTTTAGAGCCGTCTGTGGCTGCCCAAAGCTCCACCGAAGGTTTTGCTGCCAGCAGCAGCGCCAGCAAGTTGGGGGGCGCAGCTGGCTGGCTGATTGCGCGGCGAAGGAGAGCAGCAGAAGCAGCGACCCTGTGCAATCCATTGAGCAGCAGCAGCACAAGAGAGCAGCAGCAGCACAAAATCGCCACACAGGAAGCTCAAGGTGCAGCAGCAACGGGAGGAGCGCTCAAGAAGGACAGAAGCAGCAGCTCTTCTGCCTCTAGAGCGGCCTGTCCAGCTGTGCAGCAGCTCGAGCTGCTGCTGCGCTGCGCTGTAGCAACCTGCCCCTCTCTTTTGTGTTTCTGCTTGTGAAATGGCACTCTCTGCATGCATGCGGGGCTGTGTAGGGCCCTACAGTCCCCCAGGGAGGCAGCTGCAGAAGCAACTGACCAGTGGTCACACAGCAGCCGGCGCGGAACAAAAGCAGCTGAGAAAGTGCAGCAGAAGCAGACTGCCAGCCGCTGCAGCAGCTCCTTAAGAGACAAACTCTCTACTGAGCTCAAGGCAAGGGACAGCAGGCCCTCAGCAGCGCCTGCCTCCGTGCCGCTGCTGCTGCGCTGCTTTGCAGCAGCCTTTTTTTTTTTTTTTTTTTTTTTTTTCATCAAAGAAGAGGCGCCCCCGCTGCTGCAGCTCGCTGGCAGCGACGCGGCTTGCAGCTGAAAGAGGAAGCAGCTGGCTGCTGCCTCGCCGTCTGCTGCTTCTGCAGGCAGCAGCAGCAACGCTTGTGCAAACAAAGGCCCCAAGGCTGGCAGCAGATTTGCATTTGTCCTTTTGCTTCCTGAGGACTCCAGGCCTAGGGAAAAAAAGGAATAAAAGGACTCCAGCAAAATTCGGCTAAGAGGCAGCAGCCAAGCAGCCGCAGCTGCAGCATCCCGGACTTCATTGCTTCCTGGATCTGTTTGCTGCTCCCCCCAAGAGTCTCTCTTCCTCTTCCCCAAAGGGCCAGCCTGTCTGCTGCTGCTGCTGCTGCTGCTGTTTGCTTCGCCCTCCAGCCCCAGAATGGCTCGCCAGAGACCTGCGACGGAGACAGCGGGCGGCGGCTGCAGAGCTGCTGCTTCGCCGAGGGCCAGCAGCAGCGTTTGGTTGATGAGACTTTTCGCAGCAGCAGCTGCTGCTCCTCCTGCCTTGAGGCTTTCTGTGTTTGCTGCTGCTGCTTCTTTTGCTTCCTCCAGCTGGCCTTGCTTCCTGTCTTCTCCCGTGTCTTTCTCCGTTGCTTCGAAGGGCTGCGCGTCGCCTGTGCCCTGCAGAACAGCAGCAGCTGCTACTGCTGCAGCGGCGGTCTCTGCTGCTGCTGCCCGCAGCAAAGCCCGCAGCGCGGCTCCGAGAGCTGCAGCAGCTTTCGGCAGCAAAGCCCGCGGGAGGGCCCCGGCTTCTGCATGCAGCTTGAATAAAGAAATGGAAATATTCTCTATGAGTCTGCAGAAAGAAGCAGGCAGCAACAGTACTTTCTCAACTTTGCTGCTCTGGGACTCTTCTACAGGCAAACCAGGTAGCTCTTCTGGGGGCTGCAATTCGCCCTCAGGCTCTTGCTGCTGCTGCTGCTGCTGCTGCGCCTGGGGAAAGACGCGGCGGCGTTTGGCGTCGGCTGTTTCCTCTGAAAGCGCGGAGCCAGCAGCTGACACTTGAGCAGCAGTACCAGCAGGTGCTGCTGCTGCTGCTGCGGCAGGGGCAACCGAAGAAGCAGCAAAAGAAACACTTTTTTCCCCCAGCAGCAAACACAATGTCTCTCCAGCAGAAGACAGAAAGTGAAGAGTTTGCTTCGCTACAGATGGGCCATGGCGCTGCTGCCAGGCGGGGCCGCAGCCAGTGCTCGCCAGAAGGAGGCAGGCCCTAGCAGCAGCAAGCCCTTTCTGCTGCTGCTGCTGCTGCTGCTCTGCAGCAGATAACATGCCTATGTAGTGCGGCACGAGCAGCGCCCTGCATCCTTGCTGCTGCCACCAACTTTCAGGCTGAGACACAGCCTCTTTTGCTGGCAGCAAACTGGCGCTGCAGAGCTCAGAGACAAGGCGGGCCCCAAAGAGCTGCAGCGGGACAGCGCACAGCAGCAAGGGCCTCTTTAGTTTCTCGTCGCAGCTGCTGCTGCTGCCGCGGATGCTGCTGCTCCCCGCTGCTGCTGCTGCTCCTGCTGCTGCTCCTGCTGCTGCTGCTCCTGCTGCTGCTGCTCCTGGCGCCCCCAGAGCCACTGAGCCACACAGGCACCGCATTATGCGGGCTAGGGCCCGCCTTGCTGCATTTGCAACGGAGACTTGAGGCGAGGCGGCTAAGCCAAGCAGGCGGTCTAGCAGGGTGCCCCACCTGCTGCACTGTTTGCTGCTGCTGCTGCTGCTGCTGCTGCTGGCTGCGCAGTAGGCAGGCCCCCCCAGCTTGTTTGGGGGAAGCTCCCCCTCCCCCGCCGCCTCCAATGCAGCAGCAAACTCCTGGGAAATATCTTTGTCTAGAAAAGGTGCAAAGGTCTCTGCCCCGGCGGCCAGGAGGGCTAAGGCAGCAGGCTGCAGCAGCTGCTGCTGGTATGACTTCGCGCTTCCTTGGGGGCCCCCGGGGGGGCCCCCCTGGGCTCCTCCCTGGCCTTCGGGGGCCCCCAAAGTCACGGCGTAGGCATAGACGCGGCCCCACACCTCTGCAGGCAAAAGGGCCCCCAGGGTTTTGTGGCTGTGCAGCAGCTGCTGCAGCGCCTCCAGGGCCCCCAAGGCCTCCGTGGGGGCTGCGCTGAGCTTCCCTTCTGGGGCCCCCAGGCGGCAGGTGATTTGCTGCAGTACTGGCAGTAGCCAGGGGCCAGTCAGCTCGGGGTAGTTCCGCAGGCGGCTCAGCAGCGCAGCTGCACAGCACACGCAAGCAGCAGCAGCAGCAGCAGCATTTGACTTGCTTTACTTCTACTCTAGCTGCACCTACTGAGCTCATCACGGAAGCTCCGGGTCTTCTGAAGACTTGGGAAAGGCGCCCACCCAAGAGCAGCAAAAGCTCGGCGCGGACAGTAGAGCCCGCCCGCTTGTCGCTGCAGCTGAGTTCTGCTGCTAGGCGGTGCAGCAGGTGCTGCAGCGCAGCAGCAGGCAGAGGCAACGCAGTCCAGGGGGGGCCCCAGGGGCCCCCACTTGTCTCAGGAGCAAAGGCCGCCCGCAGAAGCCTCAGCGCCGCCTGCTTGACCTTGTGGGCCGGGTCCACAGCTGCAGCGCTGAGACAGCTTTCCTGCATACACCAGACACAGCAGAGTGCGCAGCAGCAGGAGCAGCAGCAGCAGCGGTGAAGTCAAGCCACGAGAAGCTTAGAACAGCCCCTGTCTGGGGCAGCAAGATCAGCTGCCAGCCCCCTGAACTTACTGTTAGCTCCGCAAGGGCCTCAGAGTCCACAGGGGCAGCAGCTGGGAGTTCAAGTGAGACAAAAGTGCGGCAAAGGTCCAGCGCGAGCTTCTTGAGGGTCACTTGCTGCGGCCCCTTCTGCAGCGCAGCGGCAGCAACAGTTCCCAGCAAGCCTTCCTTGCCCAGGAGAGCCTGAGTGAGAGCTGCTGCTGCAGCGGCTTGGGGGGGCCCCCAGCCCTGCGCGTCTTTGGCTAGGGCGAGCTCCACACTCCATTTTTCTTGAATTTCTTTTGCACACGCCTGCAGTCCCGCTGCGATTGCCTCAAGTGTGCCGTCTTCAGAGGCTCCAGGCAAAGAGCCATCTGCAGAAAACTCTAAAGACTTTTGCCATTTCAAGTTCAAGGCAAATATCTCGCGGGAAAGCTGAGAGGTGTTCATTCCCTGCAGCGCTGAAGACCAACCGCAGCCGAAACCATCTCAACAATCGATCGATGGTGGGGCCCAGAAGGCTTGGCAGGACACAAGTCCCTTTTATTTGACGCAGAAATGCAATTTAAATTATGTAAATTAATTACTTCGGGGATCTAGCGATTTGCAGAAGACAGAGAGAATAGCAACGCGAGCAGCCCAGCCGCTGCTGCTCTCTGGGACCGATGGGCGGAGCAGGCCATTTGTGGCTGACGACTTTTAACACATAAATAAATGAATTAGAGTTCGAAAGTATAAAATTCAAATAAGCTCGTTCGACACATTCTTATTAAAGCCTCCATCTGCGCCGTGTGCATGAAGCTGGTGCATACAACCAAGCAAGTCAACAGTGGCGATCTGCCCAGGGCACTAAGCAGCAAACAATTAAGGCATTTGCCACTTTGCAGCGCCATTGTGCACAAATTTGGCAGTCCCAGTTGATTTTCAAAACAAGTGAACAAACCAGCACCAGCCTATTAATTCGGTGGAACAGACTACTGCCAGGTCCCACATTGCGACCCACCAAACGCAGCTACTGGATAATTGCCACCGTAAGCCAATGCCGAGCTGGTAATAAAGCCTGAAACTATTCCAAGACATCCCCTTACGCCCTTACGACTGCAAACTTACCTACCAAGTCATTTACCCTTTAAAATGGGAACAAGTAGCACTCTGCTACTCAACCTCCCCACGCAACTCCGCACTACAGTGTCACTACTACGTCCTTCCACTACAAGTGAATTGTTCTTCGAAGTGGACTCTAAGATTCTAAGCTGAAGTGCTTTGGAGTAGACGCGGGAAAACATGTAACAGCAAAATCTTGATGCTTGAAGCTCAGAGTCTTGTTTGCCAGTTCCTGTGACTGGGACAGTTGCCCCACGCAGGAAGTTGTATCTAGAGAATCTGTGAACCCTCGCGATCACTTAACCATTTGAATTTCGAACATTTCGCACGAGACCATCGCCTGCATGCAGAAATGTTTGCACGTTCACTTCGCCGTTGCTGACTCCCTCACGCCCGCAAGCCACATGCAAACCTCTTAGTCGACCTCCTCCATCTTGGAGGCCTCGTCGGCAGCGCCCTCAACCTCCTCCAGAGGAGGAAGGTCATCATCCTTTGCCTCTTCATCATCATCAATGGAAAGACCCAACTTGATCATGCGGTGGATGCGCGCAGCAAACTGGGTGGGTTCCTCGAGGCTGAAGCCGGAGGTGAGGAGGGCCGTGTCGTACAGCAGCCAGATGAGATCCTTGACAGTCTTGTCGGACTTGTCGACGGCAGCTTTGTTTTTGATCTCAATCATAATGCTGTGGTGGCCGTTCACCTCCATGGTCTTCTTGCTGACCATGTAGCTGGTCATGCTGTTGTCCCGCAGCGCCTGAGCCTTCATGATCCGCTCCATGTTGGCGGACCAGCCAAACTCAGTGGTCACCAGCACGCAGGGGGAGTCGGTGATTCTGTTGGAGAGGACCACCTTGTCGACTTTGTCGTGCAGCACCTCTTTGATGAGTTTCAGCAGCGGCTCGAACTCGGCCTTCAGCTCTTCGAACTTCTTCTTCTCCTCCTCAGACTCGTCAATCTCAAGGCCCTCCTTCGTGCAGCAGCGCAGCTTGTGGTTGTCGAACTCCTTCAGCTGCTGCACTGCGTACTCGTCAATGGGGTCTGTCATGTACAGCACCTCGTAACCCTTCTTCGTCAGCTTCTCCAGGAATGGAGAGTTCGCCACAGTCTGACGAGACTCTCCAGTGATGTAGTAAATGTCCTTCTGGCCTTCCTTCATGCGGTCCACGTACTCCTTGAAGGACACCATGTCCTCTCCAGACTTGCTGCTGTGGAAGCGCAGCAGCTCAGCGATCTGCAAGCACACGCAAAGCACAGCACTTCACAGTTGCTCTCCGCGTTCGCTCTAGTAACATTTAATATCCCTCAATCTTCATTGAAATGAAGACATGAAATACAACTCCATTATAGAGCAGCCTTCCACAAAGACCATCAGTGGACTGAGTGTGGTTTGGGATATCCTCCGCACAGGCACCGCAATGCAGTGTAGGCGTGGTGCATGTTCCCGATCATCCCGGAGCCAAGTGAACTAATATAATAAAATTGCAAAAGCTGTGCCGCGGATAACGCAATCTACTCCCATGATCGCGGCAGTTTCACCGGTAAGCCAACAGGCAGGGAGAGATCTCAAGGTCCGCGTCTCGGCACCGACACCAAAGAACATGGGCCAAAGTGAACCAAGACGCATTATCCCAAGGTGTCTGGCCCTTGCGATACAACCTCCGATACAAACGGAAAACGCACGGGAATTTGCCTTGGAGATATAGGCCAGCTTACATGAATTGAAGTATTCATAAGAATCCACCATTTCCGTCCAACTGTGTGGCGTGAATTCCACATGCACCACTGGAGTAGATGTAAGATAAATCTCGAACGGGATCAAGAGGCGTGGAAACGAGCTCTTTTGCTTACCTTAGCGCGGTTGGCGCTGTCCTCGTGGATACCGAGCTTGAGGTTCTTGGAGAACTGCTCGTAGAACTTGGCGTAGTTTTCCTTCTTTTCTTCGATTTCGGCGAACATCTCGAGGCACTTCTTGACGAGGTTCTTGCGGATGACCTTGAGGATCTTGTTCTGCTGGAGGCTCTCCCTGGAGATGTTGAGGGGCAAGTCCTCGGAGTCAACAACACCCTTCACGAAGTTCAGCCACTCCGGGATGATGTCTTCGCAGTCGTCCATGATGAAGACGCGGCGCACATAGAGCTTGATGTTGTTGCGTTTCTTGCGGGTTTCGAAGAGGTCGAAGGGGGCCCTCTTGGGGACGAAGAGGAGAGCCTTGAACTCGAGCTGGCCCTCGACGCTGAAGTGCTTGACAGCCAAGTGTTCTTCCCAGTCATTGGAAAGGGACTTGTAGAAAGAAGCGTATTCCTCTTCAGTGACTTCCTCGGGCTTGCGCATCCAGAGGGGCTTCTGCTTGTTGAGCTGCTCCCACTCGCGGGTGACCTCCTTGACCTTCTTGGTCTTCTTGGTCTTCTCCTTCTTTTCCTCTTCGCCCTCCTTCTTCTCCTCGCCTTCCTTCTTCTCCTCGCCCTCCTTCTCCTCGGCCTTCTCGTCGGCCTTCTTCTCCTCCTCGTCCTCGGATTCCGTCACTTCGCGCTCGTGGGTCTTCTCGACGGCGAGCTCGATGGGGAAGGAAATGAACTCGGAGTGTTTCTTCACCAAGTCCTTCAGCCTGCGCTCCTCGAGGTACTCGCCCTGGTCCTCCTTCAAGTGCAGAATGATGCGGGTCCCGCGGCCCAGCGGCTCGTATTTGTCATCTTTTTGCACAGTGAAGGAGCCCCCGGCCGCGGACTCCCACACATACTGTTCGTCGTCGTTGTGCTTCGACACTACTGTCACGCTGTCCGCCACCAGGTAGGCTGAGTAGAAACCCACACCGAACTGGCCAATCATGGAGATGTCCCCGCCGGCCTGCAGTGCCTCCATGAAGGCCTTCGTGCCCGAGCGCGCGATGGTTCCCAAGTTGTTCACCAGCTCCGCCTTGGTCATGCCAATCCCGCTGTCCTCGATGGTCAGGGTGTTGTTGGCCTTGTCGGGGATCAGCCTGATGAACAGCTCCGGCTTCGTCTTCAGCTTCTCCGGCTCTGTAATTGCCTCATAGCGGATCTTGTCGAGAGCGTCGGACGCGTTCGAGATCAACTCACGCAGGAAAATCTCCTTGTTGCTGTAAAACGTGTTGATGATCAAGCCTGCACACACCACCGCCCACACGCGCACACAATCCCCCAATCACCAATCCCCTGCTTCCACAACGCCATACATCGTTCGGGATTTCACTTCCCGCAAACTTCGCTAAAACTCGAAGAAGGAAAGACACGCCACAGCCGGAGAAGACAGCGGCGACGCGATGCGTGGACAGCGCACGGCCACACTCCTCTGGCAATGCACGCCACCGGAAACAGCCCGCCAATAAGCCGAGATTATGAAAATAAAAACGCATTTATACGGAAACTCACTCATCAACTGCTGAATATCAGCGTTGAAGGCAAATGTCTCCTTGTTCTCCATTTTCGCAACGGAAGTCTTTGGGGGTAAACACAACCAAATGCACGTGAGAGAATACTATTACAGCTTCTGGGGCCAGCGCCACAAGGAGCCGTCTATATTTTGAAGTTGAACGAGCTTGAAATACACAAAAGTGATGCTGAGCAGTCAGCCATTCCCCAAGTGCGGTGGGGTGCACCTGTGGCGGTGGGCAAGAGATGCGCCTGCAGCACCCTGCGAAGCCCCACCCCACCTCTGCTGATCCGAAGTCTCACAAGACCTCGTCTTTTTGAAATCCTCTTATCGCCATTCTCTGCGGTGATATTGAGTTGTTGTAACTAACGATAATCTAAATCTATTTTTAAGTTTGCTGTTCGAAAGCTGCGGCGTCCCTGTAAAGGCCGCGAAGGAACATCTGTGACATGGCGGTGTATACCTTACGTAGATGCTTTTGAGGCTGAATGAGTATGGACGACGTAGCTGACTGCGTAAGATGCTAAAAGTTGTCTGCTAAGACTTGGAGGCAAAATTATCTCCGTGAAAATTGGCCCCGGCCAAGCAGGACAAGTCCTTCACAACTGTACACCTATGGTCCGTGTTGGGGGCTGTGGGTTCAAGTATGGGGCTTAGTTAACAAACAGCCTTCCACAGTAGTTCTAGGGCACACGTACAAGTTAGTCATAGATAAGCATGCAGCGCGAGACCCTCATCTACGCAGTGGCTCACCAAGTCCAAGACCATACTTATGCCTCCAGATGTTGTGGGCCAATCTACAAGCGTTACTTCTGTCTCCTTATGTTGGCCAGCCACGTAAGAGGCGTCACTTTTGCCTCCGTATGTTGGCTCTAGGAACAACTATTGCTAGCGCAATGAAAGAGAGTACCAAGGGCACAGCTAAGGAGCTGATGTTCTTGGCTGCATCTGGAATAGGGCCATATGCAGCACTTATGACCCATCTTTCACCACGAGTCGCAGTTACCGCGTCTTGCAGCTGGCTGCAGACCCGCTGCTAAGTTTACTTACTTTGCCACCGTGTGAATGTCACCAGCTACAAGCTAGTACCTAGGTCTGGATTTTCTGTAACCTTAGTACTCCGTTGGTGTCCCAAATGAGCCCACGGCGTCACGCTCTTGCCTGTTTCTCTAGCATTTCCTTCAACATGAGCACATACCATGCAGTCAGATGCATGTTCTCTACTCTTCCTGACCAAATGTTCGCGCACTCAGCATGAAGCAATAAATTCGGCGAACGACGGGAGAACTCCCGGTAGCTTTGCTGCATAATTATGAAGATTAACCGCTGAAGCAGCCTGCTGCCCTGTATATCCGCCCTTGTGTTCTTCAATAACCTTTAGAGACGCAAAGAGTCCTGATTGCGGGTCTTGGCGAGAAACTCAATAAATATCGCGGAAACAGCCCAGAGCTAGCAGTCGTTAAGCAGAATTCAGCGGCTTGAGAGGGTATATTAGAGTCAACACAGAGGTAGTTTCTGGTTAGCAAATGTTAGCCTTGGTGCTCCGTTACGCCCCATTCTGCTGTCACCTCCGGAGGCGTGTGACAGACACTGAAAACCCTTCCCAAATGAAGCCCAATACGCTAAGAAACAGCATCAGTATTTGGCTTCTTCCGGTGCTCTCTCACAACCTGACTCGCAGTAGATGAACCTCTACAAACCCCCCCAGAACTCACGGAATGCCCGAAGTCAGGAGTTGCAGCGCTGTCATGAACTGCTGCCTCCAGGAAGACTTTCTGCGGAAAATTTGCCACCGTTCAGTAGAACCTAAGTTTTGTGCTTTTTATCTCCGCCGTGAGTAGAAATAGCGGTACAAAGGTTCGACGTTGCCCGCATATTGCTCGGACCTGCTAGCTGGCGCTCCAGTGCCTCTAGGGCTGCAAATGCAGCAAAGACTGCCTTACTGGTGTTCTGGGCAGTCGTCGTAGCTTACTGTTGTGACGGGGAGACAATCTTTCTTGAGAATAGCCTGACGAGATGCTAATACAGATGATGACCCTGTAGAACTTGACTAGCTACCGATAAACTCAATGAGCTCAAATGAAACAGGGTTTCATCGAACGACTTCCTAGTTACTTATTTGGTTCCCTACCAAGTAATCTTCTGTTCAAAACCCAAAATTCCTCTTTCTTGGTTTCTCATGGCGATTTACTACACTCTCTGCATGTAACACTGGCCAAGAGCAGCTACTGCCATGTTTTGACGGGAAAAGCATGCTTTGATATTTCACCCAAAGTTTGCGCTACCACAAATGAACTGTTCAGCCAAGACAGTTTGTCTATGTAGCAGTGAATAGCCAGTATACGATTTGATGGCATTGCTAGCTGCATGAACTCACATGGGGCGTACGAAACAGCACCGCGGGATTTCTATTCCTGGCCTGTGAATTCCTGTGCGCGACTGTGCTCAAAGTTGTGAATCGTAGGCCTAACGCCTCTGGTGGTATGCTGGGTTGCACTGCATTTGTCAGAAGGACGCAGCTTGCCTTGTGACACAAGAAGAAACGCTCCTGTAATCTGGTTCTTGTTAAAACAGTTTGGGACACTGCCATGCTTTGCACAGGAGAGCTGCACCCTGATCTTCCTGGATGCCTAAAAATGTCTGTTGTTATCGAAACTCTCAAAAAGATGCATATGCAGCTCAAAGCTGCATCTTCGCATCTTTCGAAGAGCGAGCCCCTGGTTCTTGCGTTGGCAGGCTCATTATCTGCTCACACAGTGTGCATGTGTGGAACCTCCACTAGGCTCTGAATGTTCGTCAATGCAGGCCCTCATGTGACTTCAAGCCAAGCTTGCTGTCCTCCCCTACAGCTAAAAGAGGCGTAGGTCGTACACTGCATACAGCGTCTTCTTCGGTCAACCGTAATAAGCTGATGCGTGACGTTGTCCCGGCGAGACTCCCCGGATCAACGCATGCCTTCCTATGAAGCGGAAACATGAAAAAAACAACCGTAAAAGTCACTGCCCAACACGCTCTATGCAAGACACTCGGCGGGTATGACTCACAATTCAGTCTGCAATTCAGTCTGCGCGCGCGCAAGGCCGCCTTAAACAGCAGCAAATTCGCTGCGAAGTGCAGTGGAGAATTGACATGCGCCACCACCCTACTCTGTGCTGGTGGGCACTGAACAACCTGGAAGTGCCCATAACACCCACTTGTGGCACTTCCCTTGTCGCGGCCACAGCGCCTCAGCAAAACTTTGTGCTTGACTCGGCGACCTCGGGTGCGACAATGCACCAGTCCTCATCGTTGTTGACGCCAAGTTCCTCTGGCTCGCACTCGTGGTCTACAAAATCCGCGTCTCCGCATTCGCCCTCACTTTCGACAGCGGGGGTTTCGAGAAACGGCGCGTTTTCTGGAAAGTTACTCGCGAATTCTTCCATTTCGTAGCACACTGGGGTCAATTGTTCCATCGGTTCAACACTTCGCTGTTCAGAAGAAATGTCGCGAGGCCAACCCGCTGCGTTTTTCATCTCCAGTTCCATGCAAGGCCTACTCAGAGACTCCGTCGTGTCGCCCTCGCTTGCCACACTGCTTGAACAGAACACCTGGAACGCTCTTCTCTCTAGCTTTGGGGGGAACAAGGCGTTAGTACCTTTGTTTCTGAGCTGTCGGAAGAGGGTCTCTGTTTTCGCTTTTTCTGGCGAGTCTGCATTCAAGGTCCTCGAATCAAAATCAGGCTTGTTCACTTTGCCCTCTCCTGCAGCCTGGGAAGAAGATCCAGCCAGTCCCGTGGGGGCTTTCGAAGTTGACGACAGATAGCCCTCTGAACACTTTCCAGTTTCGTCTGTAGCTGCCTGACAAACAAATGGCTTGAAGGGCATTGCTGCGAAGCTGTCTGTTGAAGTATCACCCGTCTTGGGGAGGTTCGCCACCTTCCTGACCCCACCCGCTTCCTCTGCCGTAGAGGAATACGCAGCACTGCGCTGGCGGTAGCTGCGCTGTGGCCTGCCCCCTGAAAAGGGAAATGAAGGGTGCAGCGCGTCGAGTTGTTCCCCCCTTCTTGCCAAGTCCGCGACGGACTTCAGCAGAGATAAGTAGGCCCTAACTTTCTCATACAGTTCACCAAGGCCAAAGTCGAACAGGAGAAGAACTCCTTGGAGCAAAAGCGCCCAGAACGCACCATATAACAAGACCGCCGGCCACGGGCACCAACGCGTGTACTCCATGGACATATCGTACAAGTTGAATGCCAGATCTACTAACAGGAACCTCAAAACACCCGTTACCAAATGAAAGGAATCGATAAGCCACTCAATAAATGTGAAGTAGATAAAGGTCGTCGCCCGCACGAATACGACAGCTACGTTTAGGGGTAGTCGGGCGAGCTTCTCCAAAAGCGGAGCTTGATCGAACATAAAACGGCCGACAGCGCTCTCTGTAAAGTCTACACCGGCGATCAGGCAGCAGACCGCCGCGTAGAATACCACCAGGAGGCCAGCTGACAAGGCAAACGACAGCGCGCCCAGAAACAGGGCTGTTAGCCCGCCCCCAGCGCTAACTAAGGCATTGCTGATTCGGCCTTGGCTCCTCCTTTCTTCTGACTTTTTGTCATCGCCTCGTTGGGCATCTGAAGCCGATTGAAAGTCACTATCTCTCCGGTGCTCGTGCGAGGCGTCAGCAGCAGCGCCGGGACGAGCGCGACTTTTGCAGAAGTGTTCCCCCTTCTCAGAAGTCTGCTTCCAGCAGTCACAATGAGGGATGGAAAAATTGGACTGGCAGCAGCTCTCGTCGCCTTCCATTGTGCAACGGGATTTTGCAGTGCCGCACACCTGCGTCGGCTTTGGCCGCTGCGATTGTGGCGGCGTAGCGAAGCAGAGAACAAGGATGAATTGGGGAAAAGGATGTGCGTAACACAAAAAGAATTCATTCACACGTGCTGCACATCGTGTTTTGCATTAGACAAAGTCAGAGCAAAAGCAAACCACGTCAACGAGGTCCCGCTGTACAGGGATCAGGGCTGTGACCAAGGACGGATGCTCGCGAGTGTCCACTGGTCTCTCTGTTGTATTTTCCTTAATTGCCGCTCTTACTGCTAGCGTTAACCAATAAAATCTTCGATCAGGTGTTGTTGCTGACTACAAGAAACTACAACATGGCAAAAGCCAATAGAGGCATCAGTTCATGCACTACTTACCACAAGAGACTGAGCCGGTTCACAACACCAACTACTGACGGTTGCGGAGACATAATGTATCGATACAATGCGTATACATTGCGTAATGATACATCTTCTTCCATTATACTTCTCACGTCGCCCTTATGGGTTCTGCTGAGCTGGGCACGGCGCTCCAACAAAGTTAGCCGCTGTACCACTGGACATCGCTACTCCAAGACGGTGCATGCACTGAGCAGCTGACCTGGGTAGTTTTGCTCATGTTTGCTCAGAATGCATACATGCGCCTCTACGAATGAGCGCTTATTCAGCAGCTTCATAGCCCAAAATGCCAAGGACGCACTATCATACTCCGCAAACATGAGTCTGTCTGCGCGACTACCTAGACTACAGATGGGCACAGAAAGGGGTTCGCTGCACTCCAGCTCGGCGGCCATAAGCTTAGTCACTCCGGCCTAAGCAACTTGTCAAGTCTAGCAGACACTACATCGCTGCAGTGCGCCAGATCCGCACCTTGCGTCGGCCGCACCATACTGCGTGCGGACTCTAAGTAGTAACGACTACTATAAGTATGGGGCCAGCTAAAAGCCACGCTCTTGCATGTAGGCGTCACCCGTGAAACATTCCTTAGTAGAAATCAACCCGTCTGTGTGTACCGGAAAACATTGAGGCGGAGCCAAACATGATACTTCTTATATCTACTAAATATGCGCAAAGCCAGATTGTACACCACCCACGGTCGAAAACAAGTGCACGAACTAAGGCCAAAGGGGACCTGACAGCAATCAATGCCATTTGGCACAACATGGACAGCGTCGGCTGTCAAATGCACGAGTCACCCTCGATAAGGCGCGAACACGCAAAACCACCATGAGCGGTTCCCTGTATTGGCGACGCAGTGAGGCCACGGTTATCAAAACGGCCCGAACGGACATCTACGCAGTCGTTATTGCATGCGATACCAGCAGAATGCGGACGAATCTATGTGCGCTTCTGCTGGGCAGATGTACACTACAGCATAGTTAAGCAGTGTTATGACCCATTCTACGGCGAGTTTTACCCAAGTCGCCGGATGGAAAGAACAAGCGAAATACTTGGCAGACATACTCTACAGCTTCCTGAGACTGAGCGCGGCTCTGTGAGTTCATCTGTCACGCGTGCCAGTTTCCTGGAGGAGGAGCGACCGGCAAATAACGATGAGTGCGAATATTATATCAGACGGCCGATGCCGATAAACGCACGCAGACCTGAGCAATGTGGGCTTTCAATCAACACAAGCTCAAAAACACATCTCCACGTGGGGCCACGTCGGCGAGGTGGAGACCATTTGTAAACGGGGTGTGGGGGAAATTAAGGACAATTGCATACAATATAGAAACTATAACTATAAATACAATTCGGTGTATTGAAATGAGTCGAACAAGGCAGTGCTTGGACGGTCAAGTATGGATGCTTAATAAATACCAGGGCCTAAGACTTCGGCTCCGTGTCGGCGGCGCGACCTGCCGGGGGCATCAGCTTCACCCCTTCAATACGAATGAAAACTCTCTGAATACCTCTGTCAAATTCAACATTGAAGGAGGCGCAGATGCGCTTCTTAAACTTCTCCGTGTTGGGTGTAAACGTGCCGCCAGCATACTCTAACAAGAAAGCCATGGATGCCTCCGAGTTGAAAAAGGTGATGCAACAGTGAGAGCCCCGAGGTGGGAATACCAAGACGCGCTCAATTCCGCAAATACCCAACTCGCTCGAAAGAACCGTCTTCAGCTGCGCCACAAACAAAACATACCAAACAACCAGGCAGCAGAATTGCGCCGCTAGCCAGCATGCGTGCGCTGCGTCTACAAATATACACTCCAGGGCTTGGTGTTTCAGCGTTTAGGGCCTTAGAGTTTACAGGTAACCTTTTGGCCAAAATCTATGAAACAAAAGACCAGCTGCTCAACAAAACAACCGGTGTTTGCCAAACACAAGAAAACAGATACAAAGATACAAGCGGAGTTGCCGAGTAACCGAGGAACACTACAGATGCAGCCCGATGAAACAAAACTCACCAACATCCAATTACAATATGAGCAGTGGCACGTTCGCAAATCCAATCCGGCAACACTTGTGCATTTTCCTACCTTTTCCTCCGCTTCTTCCTTGTCCGTGTGCTCCTGGGCACGTGCGGCTCTTGGAATCCACGAGACGAAAACAGTCCGTTCAAAGGCATCTGGAGGGACCCCTTGGGAGCCCGGAAGGGTCAATATACCTTTAGACGGCAAAGACGTGAGGCTGAGGAGGTCGTCGCGTCTGTCTTGCATGGCTTGCTGCTCGAAGGACTGCAGCTGAAGAGTGGCTGGCAGCTGGAACGATGCAGACTGGGAAACAACAGCCGAAAGACTACTACTGGAGAGCAATTGCGTCTCTGGGTCTGAAGCATTTGTTCCTGCCTGTCTCGACTTCTTTTTCTTGCGGCTGCGCCGCTGCCGCGGCGCTGGATTGTGCATAAAAGCGGTCCACGCAGCCGAGCCCGTCATGTGCTGCTGATTTCGAGTAGGAGAATCTGCAAGCAGACCCGTCGCGAGTTGGGCCACTGCAGCCTTCATGCATTCGGCTCCCGTAGGGAGGTCGTCGCAGGAAGGCAGCGAGCCCCTGGCCTTCCCAGGAAGAGGCACGCCTCGGTCGTGCCCCAAAGCAATGGCAGGCTTTAGCATTAGCGACAAACAGCTCAATGGGGTGTTCTTTGGAGCCACATGCTGCTCAGCCAGCTCCTGCAGCTGCCCCACGCTTCGCGAGCCCCTTCCTGCTGGAACGCTGAGGGGGGCTTCGAAGCCGTTGGGGATTCCTGGGCTGAGATCCGCATCACACAATAGCGAATGGCCACTGACAACCTGAGAGGAAATGTGCGCAGCGCCCCCTGTTCCTTCTGACGCATTAATAGCCACGAACATTTCAGACTCGATCAAAAAATACAAACTCCGAGCGACCAAAATCCAGGGGTGGGGATCTGTTGGGACCGTATTCCTGCTGCCGTCGCCTGAAGGGTCTGCGGCGTCATCGTTGAGGTGTTTCGGGATAAGCGTGAGGAAATGAGCAAAGCGGCCCATCTTGGGAGCTTGAGGGTGGCCGTCCCGGCCTGGCTCGTTGACTTCGGGGTCGCGAGACAGGAGGCCCGGGGCGACCAGGGTGCCTCTCAGGGCACAAGAGAGGCGACCGGGCCCGGCGACGCAAGCTTGCACGCACTCCACTGTGACCGCGAAGTCCCCTATGCACGACTTCAGGGCTGTGAGCTGTCTAAGTGCGTCCGCGTGGCCCGTTCCTTGGTCAAAAACAGGGTGTTCAAGAGGTCGGCCACCGACGAGCTGCGGGTCCAGCCACTGTTTCCTTGTGCACCAGGGCGAGTGCATGGTAACGACAACGTCCGGCAGCTGCGGGGTGTGTACGCCGCGGGCCGCCGACGTGTACATCGGCACCTGCCATGTCGGACTTGAATTGAAGACGGAGTCGTACAGAATACTCACAAACGACCTGACCTCCCCCTGCAATTTGCTCATAGACAAACCCACATCCATATGCACGGGGTCGTGACTCTTCTCGTTTTCCAGTGGCTCGGATCTGGCCAGGGCCATCCCATCCCTCCCCCCGGTGTTCTGGGTAAAGCTGACAGGTGGCGCAGACGCAGCAGACTCCACAGAAGGGGAAGGAGTGTCCAGTGTGGTCCGCTGACTCCTTCCTTTTCGGGCGGCGGCTCTGTCGCGTGCTGTCTGCGAAGACGGCGAGAGGGTCGAGGACCGCCGCCTCGCGAAGTCTGGCTGTGGCTGCTGTCCACAAAACCCAGCTTCGAGGCCCAAGGTGCCTTCTCCCGAGGCGGGAAACCCAATTCTGGAGCGTGCATTGAACTCTTGAATAAGCACATCCTGCTCGGCCACGGGTCGCGCCTCGAGGGAAGGCGCTACAGATAGGTCTATAGATTCGTAGCCAGGAGGGGCCTGCAGATCCAACGCAGAGTCCCTGCGCATGCGCTGGTGCCCCTGTTCATCTACCACGAAACGAACAACATCTGCCTGTACATCAGAGGAGAGCAGAGGGGCCATACTGCCCATCCTGCCTGCGCACTGGAGGCTGTACGCGAGACCCATGGGCTGCTGCTGCGTGGCCGGCGTGGGGTGGCCGGCGATCCGGCTGGAAGCGGCGAGGAAAGCAGAGCCGTCTTCCCCAGTAACTGCGCCGCTGGAAGCACTCATCGTCTCTGCTGCAGTTTTGAATTCGCGCCGCTGCTGCACGCCCGAAGAGGTACTTGAACTTAGCAACAAACTGGCGGGCACAGACCCGCCGGGGCTCCACTCTCCCACCAGCCCGGGACTGGCCCCAGTCCCGTGATAGACAGCGCCGCTTGCTGCCACCGCCGCCCCCTCCCACTGCGAAACTGCAGCGGGGGGGGAGGGGGAAGGCAGCAGACAGGGGGACCTGTCCGTGGAAATGCGGCCGCTGCTGGAGAGCTGCGCTGAGAGCTGACGCGCCAGCGAGTCGGAGAGGGAGTCCGGGACAATACAAGACCCTGGAGTGTCTCTTATCACCATAGTCTGGAAGGGGCGGCCGTAAGAAGAGCTCGCCGCTATCCCCGGCTGCTGCTGCTGCAGG